GCGGGACACCCTTGTAACCCTAACCCTAACCCTAGGTCTCATTCTGATAGCTGAGAGCCAGAAGAACACTGCTTGGTAAGCCAAATGTCCCCAAACGCTCTGAACAACTTTTGCAAGCGCTTTTGAGTTTGCCACCACTGCACGCGCACTGCACACGCACACCCTCTGCGAAAGTTGTTGAGCCCCTCTACAACCAAAATGGGGTCTCATTCTGATAGCTGAAAGCCAGCAGAACACTGCTTGGTAAGCCAAATGTCCCCAAATGCTCTGAACAACTTTTGCGAGCGCTTTTGAGTTTGCCACCACTGCACGCGCACTTTTTTGGCGGGGGATTTGGCTGCGCATCCGCTTTTGCGCCGTAAAAGTCTCGGGGCATATGTATAGGTCTGCGGACGTCCAGAAGCGTCTTTTGGCAGGGCGCGGTCTAGTCTATGGCGTAAAGTCGTCGACCTATACCAGTAGGCTTTCAAAACCAGCCAGTCCTCTCCTGTCTCGCATGATGCGACAAAGACGCTTTGCTTGGCAAGCTATCAGCTACGATACTGCAGATGCAAGCAGAATCGTGATTGCCTGAAAAGTCTGTTCTGTAAAGCCCAAGCATTCAATCACCAGGATTAGACTTGCATCTCATGAAGCGCCATATTGGCTCTTATTTTCTGAATTCGAATCTACATGAGCTGGTCTAGGGATAACACGGTCGCATCGCGAGCAATGAAGCGGTTCCCATGACACGGCCATGAGCAAGCGCAAGAGCATTGCATGTGAAATGATGATTGTCAACCGAAAGCCGGCCTCGTCGCCGCAACGAGTCGTGAATGAGCATGTCCAAAAGGTATAGCGGGCAGACAAAAACGTTGACCCCGTGGATCAGTCCGCAATTACCGTTGTCTGCCACGCGCTCTGTGGTCTCACTTCACCGCGGCACGGAATTGTCGGGCTGCTGTTCATTCACGATGGTCCCGCGACGACAGCCTTTGAGGAACAAGGTGCCAAGGCGATACCGAGACTTGCTTGGCGTCCGCGACTCGTCGCGAGGCGTCTGAAGGAGCTCGCTTACCGAAATGTCAATCACAATCACCAATCAATAACAAGTGCGACGGGAGCGGCGCGGCAATCAATCAAAGTGGGACGGGAGCGGCGCGGCAATCAATGACAGTGCGACGCGAGTACGCATCGCTCCCCGTCGCACTTTACACAATTTCGGAATTCTTTGCCAAGACATTTGAACGCCACTGATTTCGAGTGACGATGCCGTATACTGCGTGTGCAACGTCGTCAAGTCTTTCTCATCCTGGCGCAACAACACACGGAAGTGCGCTTCCCGAGGCAATCAGCAAGAACGGATGCGAAGACAAATCTTGGCGACACTCTGCATTCCATAGCGAACGTAGTGACCTTCTAGCAGCTTCGCGGTGAATGCAGACTCTTGCAGAGACAAGCGCTGACTCGACACGACGTCTATATAAAGAAGGCATTTGGAGCGGTGAACCATGACCACTCATCTTCACAACTCGCATCTCGCATCTCGCATCTCGCAGCGAAAATCCTCACCTCTTCTCCGCCTAAAAATACAACGCAAGGTGAGTCTGCCTGCCTGTCTGCCTGCCTGCCCTCGTCGCGCTTCACCATTCCGTCGCTTAGTCTTCTCGCTTCTCGCGATAGATGTACGCCTTGAAGCTCTTTGCTCTCGCTACCCTCCTTTGCATCCTGCAGATTGCCACCCCAGCATCTGCAGCGGAGCGCCTTGTGGGGAGAGATGTGACGCCGAACCCCACCGCTACTCTAAAAGGACCCGGCTACTTGCTTCGCCGTGCGCCTGTTGGATCGCCCGACTGTCCTTATTGCTGCGTTGAAGAGGGCTGTGGACCAGGTGTCGCGTGCCACTGTGATGAGTAGGCTGGTGGACACAGTCTGACGTGAGTGGCATTCGGATGCGGCGGCTGTTCGCAAGCGTGTCTCATTGTATTCTTCTTCTTCTTCATCACCGTCGCCCGTGCCATCTTCGCTTTGCAAACGTATGGCAGCTGCTGTCTCCCCAGCCGCGCTTGAATCTCACTCCATTTGTTGCGACCCGCTGTCCACTTTGCGTGCGAAATGACACCTCTTGCCCGTCGTCGCACTCGCCCTCGCCCCTGATTTTGAGCTGGCAATTTCGCCGCTCGGAATACGAGGCACCTCGATACGCTCCACGAGGAGACTTTCGCGGTCAAGGCAGCCACGGTGCTATAAGGTCGCTTGATTGCGAAAACGTGCATGCGAGCCGGGGTAAAGGTCAGGCGTGTGGACTGAGAGTGACGAGGTCTGGACACAGGACGGGCCCCACTGCAAATTGACTCTTTGGGCGAATGCATAAAGTTTCGAGTCTCAAGTCGCCCGGCCTCACCTCGCCGATCGCGGCGGCGTTCCGATTCGATTGGCAAAGCCCAATCAATTTGAAAAGAAGCACGCGCGACGAATCACAATGACGCCTTTACAGCTGAGAGTGCAAGACGGGATTCGCGTCGCGTGTGAGCGCCTGCGTGCCACATGAAAACGACGGATCGCATCGATTCGATACAAGAGACAGCACTTTTGCGCTCCCCACACACACACCCTCCCCTCTCAGCATGAGAGATCCAAAAAGTCAATCCTTTCGACCTGCATCACAGTCGTCGTGAGTGATGCTTTCAAGGCTTCGCAAGCACATCGACCTCGACCTCGACCTCGACCTTTTTGCTCATCGCGCGCGCATTCAAGACGAGCGAATGCAAAAGAGTATTTTCCCCGCATGCAAGGTGACATCCGTGCTTTACAAGCGACTCCAAAAGTTGAAGGCTGCCAATGCAAGAAGATCATTTCCGCGCATCCCAAGAGAAAGTATCTCGTTTCCATCGCTAGCATGAGCTCGCTCGCTCGCAGTGATTTGAAAAGTGAATACCCCGCCCGACGTGTATGCGTATGATGCGCCAAAGCTCAGCTCGACGACGACGACAAAGTAAGAAGGAAGGCCCTCGCATCGCTGCTTGCGCACCTCCCTCGCCTCAACGACGCAGTCGCAATCGCAATCGCAATTGGCCGTGCGTATCAAGTAAGCACGGCGCATCATGACTTGCAAGAATCCAAATGCGATTGCTAAAAGGGGACCGTCGGCCGCGCCGCGCTCCGTTCATCATTGGCGTGCCTCTAGACGCCCCCTGCTCATCTGCTCCAGCATCTTGACCGCCTCCTTCGCCCGAGGTCTGACCACCACGCCCTCTTTCGTTCTTGCCGCATCGTACACACCCTTGAAGCGCGTTACTCCCAGCGCGCGCCCCTGCCCGTGCCCGTGCCCGTGCCCGTGCCCGCTCGGCTCGTCGAAATGCACCTTGCCCACCACCTTACCACCCTGCACCGCATCAAAGAATCGATCGCCCGGCCGCACTTGAAACGGTTGCGCGACGTATCTGCCCAAACCCGATACTTGTCGAAGATGTCCATGCGCTGCTTCATACTTCCACTCGGTGCCTGGTGGGACGTAGTGCCTACGAGGCGACACGGCCCAAACATCCTCATCGACGTCGTGCTGCTGGTGTCCATGCGCGATCAGCTTGCTCTTGCCGCTGCTGCTTCTGCTGCTGCTGCTGCTGCTCCATCGCATCGAGTCGTAGAGCCCCTCGTGCTCGACTGCCAGTGGATCAGCGTACTCGTGCGCTTGGTGCGGAATGGCTGGCCAGCCTATATGGGTCTGTGCGGAGCGAAGGCAGTCGAACTTGCGTCGGGCGGGGCGTGTGAGCGAGGTGAAAGAAGGAGGGAGGGACAGTGAGCAAGCGTGGAGAAGATGGCGTCTTGGATGCTCAGGGCGATACTCACGCATGATGGATGGAGCGGGAGCGCGCTGATGCCAGCGAGGAGATGGAGCGCGAGTGCGCCGGAGCGAGCAGAGATCATGGCGCAAAAATGGTGGGGGAGGGGGGAGCATGCAAGCGTGGTCGTAGCAGATGGATCGTACACGCTCTTGTAGGAGCTGTGCGAATGTTGTTGTTGTTGTTGTTGTCGTTGTTGTTGTTGTTGTTGTTGTTGTTGTTGTTGTTGTTGTTGTTGTTGCGCATACGCATGCGCGTGTGCAATACGCCACTCCACCTGCTGCTGTGCGCCCTTGTGGAGCGGAGGATGGTGCTTATTGCGCGCGGGCATCTGCTGCTTAACGCCACACGACCCTCAATGCTCGGGGACCATCATGCCGATCATGGTCGCATCGATCATGGCGTCGATGTTGACCCAAGAGTGTGTGAGCACTGTGGCGCGGGGGCGGGCGGACGAGCGTTTGCTAGGTCAGCTTGTGTGCGCGCATACACACGGCACACCACTGACTGAAGAGGCGCGTGCCATCCCTGCCAGCTACGCGCATCAATTCCTTTTCGCCGCCGGGATGAAAGCGGAGATAAGGAGAGAGGTTGTAGACTTTGCCGTTGAAGCATGTCCAGCAATCTTGTCTGCTCTTGTGCCTTGCCAGTTCCGAAGGCGTGACGCGCAAGTAAGACGTCAGACCTGCCTGTGCGCGAGTAGCGTGTATGCTTCAGCAGCCGTCGCTCGCAAGCACGCACGCACGCACGCTGCCACGCACGCTGACACGCACACGCACACGCACACCCACACCCACACCCACACCCACACCCACACTCACCCTCAGCTCCGCTTTGCCGCTGCTCTTCTCACGAGCCCAATCCAGCGCGCTGCATCCCGGCGCCAGCGCGACTTTGCGACGTATGCCTCCTCCAGTCTCCTTGCCGCTTGCTCCTCCAACTGCAAGCGAACTGTTGCCTGCGCCACCGCCGCCGCCCAATCTAGCACCGCTAGCGCCACCCACGCCTGGAGGAGCAGTCAAGGCGGATGTGCGAGGTGGTGCTGCGAGCATGGCGGGTGCGGGCGCGGGTGTGGGCGCAGATGGAACGCCTAGAAGAGACCTGAGGCTGCATTTGCTCGCTGTGGGTGTGCCTTTGCGCTGCGAAGAGTCGTCAGCCTTGCTCGTCGCCACGCCACCCCTGTGCGAGCCTGCACCCGCTCCCGCACCCGCACCCGCACCGGCTCTCTGCGCGCTGTCGAGTGCTGGAAAGGCAGGTGGCGCGTCGTCGTCGTCGTCGTGAGCGTCGTGCGCGTCATTATGAGGCACGATGAGAGTGGGTGCAGCACGCTTCATGCTCGGAGCAGACGGCCGCTTGAATGTGGTGGCGGCAGTGGCGGTGGCGGTGGACGTCGACGTCGATGTGGGTGCGAATGACAGCTTGCAGTGAGGGTCCGGGTCGAGCTGAGCAATGTCGAGCGTGGAGAGGGCATCTTGAAAGGTTGCATCCTCTTCAGAGTCAGAGTCAGAGTCAGAGTGTGCGTGTGCGTGTGCGTGTGCGTGTGCGTGTAAGCGTGCCATGATTGTCATTCGTCATTCGTGATTGCGGTGATGGAGCTTGCAGGGTAAAGAGTACAGGCGCGGGTGTGTGTGTGTGTGTGTGTGTGTGTG